AAAAAAATCCATCATCTTTTAATTCCCTTTTTTCATGAACTTTTTGAAGCACCCTCATATATCAGGCACAATGATAATGACAAAGTATACTCTCTAAGCTATGAACTATATCCTGTTACTCAAAAAAGGTAGTGACTAGAACAGGTAGTATGCTACCAGGTTGTTGTTGTTAGGTGCATTGGGTGGGCTCTAAACCATAGTGACACTATGCTACTGTAATAACCTCAACTTACTGCTAGAAAATGCAAAACCTCAAGAGGCAAAGTGATGTAGCTTTGAATTAAAACGAAAGGAGCTGTTAACTTCGAAAAAAATATAGAACTCTCTTATCTTGTCCACTACCCTTTGTGACTCTCTCAGATTCAAATCCTCTTTTTTTTGTTCTGTACACTCAACAAATTGGCCTTCATTAAGGCAGTGGAAATATGCAGTAGTCATACACACTTTGCCCTATTTAACTAATTTGTGTTTTCTGTTTCTGCTACCATCCTTGCTGCATAATTACTATTTTAAACCTGAATCTTATCAAAAGTTAAGGGTCAAACTTTCTCACTTGCATAGACATTTTAAAAATGCCACAGGTAAAGAAAAAAAATGCCACAGGTTTGGAACAGTTTAAATGTGTAGTTCTTGAACTGCTATTAGCAATTTAAAAATCACATTAGTTCCAAGTATATGTTTTTAAACTTACTTTGATATAAAAATTTGACTGCTGACCTTTACAACTTTAAAGTAATTTACACTGACAGCTATGTAATTAATATTCTAATAAACATTTAATGCATTTAAATTTTTATCATATTTTATAGTAAGTTGACTTCATTTACATTTATTTAAATGGAAAATGTACATCTATTTCAAAGTAAAATTCATCAAATAAAATATATTCACTAATTTTCAACAAGAACATAAATTGGTGGCCTTAAAATATCTTTAGGAATTGTTCACAAAATGTTCACAATATCCTTTGGATACAAATATTGATAATAAAAACTTGAAAACCCTATTAAGTGATTTTAAAAAGTTTGTGGAGAGATTGATTTTTTTTTTT